CTTCTTCAGAAAATTTTCTGAAGAAGGGTCTAGGCCCGAAACGTCAGCCTTCCTACTCCTCTGATGCTGCTTGGCCTGCTGTGTTCATCCAGCTCTACACCTTGTTATCTCAGGTTCTCCAGCATCTGCAGTTCCTACTATCTCTGCTCTGTCAGGCAGTTCTCCCAACTTTGCACTAGGCCACAGATATTATTAAGGAGGACTTTGCAGGGGCAATAGGGCTATTTCTGCCGTTGGCTTTTCCGGTGCCTAGGTCAATGCCAAGTGGTCCGTCCAATTTCATTTCTTTCTGAAACTTCATAGTGATTGATCCAGTCGAATGGCTCACTAGGCCATCACAGTTGGCAGCTGGGAGTCAACCACATTGCTGTGTCTCTGGAGTCATACGTAAGCCAATCCAGGTGAGGATGTCAGATTTCCTTCCCTGAAGGGCAGTAGGGAGTCAGATGCGTTTTTCTGACAATTGACAATGGTTTCACGGTCATCAGTAGATTCTTAATTCCAGATTTCTATTATTGAATTTAAATTCCACCATAGCCTGAAGCTCAATCCGACCAGCCCTGATCTCACTGAATGACTGAGTAAGGTCACGGGGCTGAATAGTGTATTCATGCTTTTAATTCATAACTCATACATAAAGTTTAGCCTGCTAAAAATTCATGATCAAAAGTTCAGAGGAAGGGTCACTGGACCCGAAACGTTAACTCTGATTTTTTTTCTTCACAGATGCTGCCAGACCTGCTGAGCTTTTCCAGCAACTTCTGTTTTTATTCCTGATTTACAGCACCTGCAGTTCTTTCAGTTTTAAAAATTCATGATACCTGAAATATAGTGAGATTCCCTACTCTCCCTTCTCTTTGCCAAACTATCAAAGATATCATCCTGCTGAACTCACAAACACCAGCATTAACATTATTAGCACTAGCACATTTTGCACACTGAAAATTTGTTGTGAATCTAGTGTGACTGCATAACTGCCATGGTTGTGACTAAAATAATTCAGTAGACTCAATTACTTTAGATTAAGAAGAGAGATTACATAGACTGGATTTGTATGCCCTCAAATAGAAGCAGTTAAGGGACCATTTGGTTCAGGTTTTTATGATTTTGAAAGATATGTAGAGGGCAGATAAAGAGAAATTCTATTGGCAGCAAAGCTACAGAAGGGATATAATCTTAAAACCAGAGCCAGGCAATTCTAGAGAAAGTAAAAATAAAGACCCTGTCTCAAAGAAGAGACACTGGACTCGAACGTTAAATCTGTTTTCTCTCCACAAACGCTGCCAGACCTGCTGTGTTCCTCCAACAATTTTTGTTTTAATTCAAGAGAATCACTCTATGCACAGTGAGTGATAGAATTGTGGAACCCCTTCCACAAAATGTGATAAATTCTAGGTCAAATAATAATGTTAAATAGTTTATAAATAGATATTTGCTCTCTAAGGGTATAAAGTTTATGGAGTCAAGGCCAGTGGAAATGGAGTTAAGACACAGATCAGTGTAATCCCATTGAATGACAGAATAGATTTGAGAAGCTCCCTGGGCTTATTACAGTTCCTATGGGGGAGTTGCAAAGTAAGCATGGTGAAACACATTTAAATATTACTGTTCAATCATCAGAACATAACTTCAAAAGACAATATCTATTTTCTGGTTTTATTCTCAGGCCTTCCAACCTGCCTTCTCTGTACCTGCCTGAGTGGATCTGTTTACTGTGATGACACAGATATCAAAACCATACCTCCTCTCCCCAAGGAGACCACTCACTTTTATGCACGGTTCAACAAGCTCACCGACATAAAGAAAGGAGATTTTGCTGGGCTAAGTATGATAATGTGAACCTTCGGGCTTATCGTTATGAAAAGAAAGACAATGTTAATTTCTTTATATGGAATGCATGTTCTTGTTCTATTTTGTAATTCTTGCATCACCATCAATTTGTTTGCTTGGTTGCGGTATAATGGCAATAGAAACGTGAATGTAAACAAAGTAAAGTTTTGAGTGAAGGAGCCCATAGCATTTGCTATGACTGATGTAAATAGAGTTAAGATACAGATCTGGTTATAATATCTACAGTCCACAAGGAATCAAAGGTATCTCACTCTGTTAAAGAGAGACAAATTGGCTACATAGCCTGGGGAGTACCACTTCATATTAAGCATGGGGCAGGGAAGGAGGCAGCCAGATGAATACCATGAAGGTTGAAGGTACACCATGAATGTTATGCAGCATTACAGTTTAGCCATTTGGCCAGTTGAGCAGGCTGACTGCCACAGATCAGCCATGATCCAAGTGAACTGTGACTGCTGGTTTTCAGGATTTTGAAAGGTATGGTTAGGGCAGATACAGAGAAAATTCTTCTATTGTTGGAGAAGCTACATAAGGGACATAATCTTAAAATTACAACCAGGCAATTCAAGACAGAAACTATGAAACACTTCTGTGCACAACAGGTGTTAGAAATGTGCAACTCCTCCCACAAAAAACCCAACAGATTCTAGGTCACTTAATAATGTTAAATCTGTTATTAATAGATTCTGTTCACCAACGGTATAAAACCAAGACCAGTGGATATAGAGTTAATATCCAGATCAGGTGTAATTCCATTAAATCATAGACTTGAAGGCTTGAAGAGCTACCTATCCTGACTGCAAGTGTTTCATGGATTAAATGGCAGACTCCTGTTATTACAATCCTAAAGGAACTTTATGGAGGCAGCATAGCCTTAAAATTTGAGTCAAGCCATTCATTGGTTGGAATAACTCAGGGAGTCTGACTGTAAAGGAAAATTTTTTATTGTTGAACACCAAAATAGAGCCACTACATGTGGCGTACAAAGGCTAGTCCTAGTCTGAAACAGACGGTTCTGCAGACATATCTATTATAAAGCACTCAGGTGATGAGTCCCAGCTGGGCAGACCACTGCCTGTTACCAAGGGAACTCATACTCGGCTAACACCACTGGGAGATTGATTAGTGACTCCCCCATGGGCATAAAGAGGCTTATCAGATTGGTAATGTCAGAAAGCATGCAGAGGGAAGTGGAAAAGCTGTCAAACTTAGGGACGGAGAGGGACAGTGGCAGAGGTTATCAACTGAAAATATCAGAAGTCAGATTGATACACTTTTGCATGCTGCTGCTGGAGGCAGTGTTACAGAATTTTCTTGCCACTTTCCTGAGACCCACAGAGTCACCAAAGTCAAGGAAGTATGCAGGATTGCAACGTGGGACAAGGAAGCAGGGTTGAATGTGGCTTGGAAGGGGAAAATTCAGGAAGCAAAGAGAAAGGTCAGGAGTCTACAACAGGGAGAAGGAGTTGCATAAATGTCCATACTTATATGGTAATTCTAATTGCAGATAATATTGCAATTGTGTAATCTATTGCCTTTATGGAAGCACATTATCTTAGCATTGTGCTGAGTTTAAATTAACACACTACAAATCGCTTACCTTGATCGGGCAACTGTTAGGACCATATTGATATTAAGAAGGGACTATTACGTTTATTATTTGTTTCCAAGTATATCTATTGTGAATAATTATCATCTTAGATCACCTAAAGTCAATTGACGCAACAAGTAATAGAATTATAATGGTATTATTGGTTCCAAGTATATTAATTGTGAATAATTATCATCCTAGATCACCTAAAGAGGATTGACGTGACAGGTAATAGGATTTCTTCAATTGATGAAGATGCTTTCAGGCAGTTGCCTGAACTGGTCGATCTGATGGTTGCTTCAAATGAACTTGTGCAGCTTCCAGAGCTACCCCAAACTATGGTCAGCATTGATGCAAGTTACAATAAATTGAACAGCAGTGGGATAAAGAATGAAGCATTCAAAGTAAGACCCATTATTATACACTTTAGTATGTCCTTTTTGACAAATGTCTTGCATGGTCGACTTTCAAATTTGAATGCAAGGTCTGATTAGTTTGAAAGTTGATTGAACTTCTTTAATACAGCAGACCTTCAGTCCTTTAATATTGTATCCATGTTTCTTTAAAAATCTTTTTTGCCTGTACACATTTCTTCTTTACACTACATGGTTATTCTTCCATGAGTTTTTCATACTGTATGTGTTAATTTTTCCATTTATGAAGTAATTTACCTATTAAACTATGTTGCAGTTATTACCCAATCACAAATACTCTTCGGAGTAGTTTTCAGAGAAGCCTGTGACAGGTTGGTGTACTCCTCGTTTCTTTTCTCCTATATAGAAAGCAGAAGAACTAAGGCATTTTTTTCAATCACTTAAGTTTTTCCTTCATGGCAAATATTTGCTCTCAAATCCTCTTTGTACAGATATGGTGCTGACCCTGTGTTAGTGAGCGTAATTTTGAATCTGGGAAATAGTTTAAAGTAGGTGATATAAATTTAACTGCCGATTATATAGCTCCCCTGAAGAGGCTCTTGTGGTGGAGTAGTAGTGTCCCTACTGCTACGCCAAGAACCCCAGTTCACGTCCCACTTGCTGCAGGAATAAGAGCTCTGGATAGATTGGTTAGAAAATACCTACATTTATCATGATCAAATTCAACAGAAATAAAATTTGGGAGTGTAGTTATTTTAATCAATATGTTATAACACACCTTGAGGACAAGTGGGATTGAACCCAAACATTCAGGATCAGAGGAAGGGGCACTACAACTATGTCCATATCCCTAGGTTTGCACATATTTTTAATCAATCACACATCCACATCAGATGAGACTTCAGACTACAGCTTTTTGCACAGTGTTGCTTAAAGGATTATCTTGCTTTTGCTTCTGTTATCCTCTTCATACAGTTTAATGTTACATACCAAAATGCTAGTGGACTCTTGGTTGTACAGCTCTAACTTGTATTTTGTGGCTGCTGTCCACTTCAGGGCAGTCTAAAGAAAATCCTCAAATTATGTTGTCCTTCATCTTCATGAATTTTAAAGCAAAATTGTTGTTTGGTGAAAACTCCACTCAGATAAAAGCTGTAAACTTTCATAATCTTGCATTTAGGAATAGGTTAGATGTTCTTCACTCCCAGTATCAATCTCAAACTTAATGACAGTGACTGCAATTTTTCCATCACATTGTGTTAACTGGTAATGCTCAATAATTGATGATTCTTTGTTTTCTCATTGTTCCTTCTTTTCCTTTGAATTCACAGGACATGAATAACCTTGAATATCTATATCTAGCTGGCAATTTATTGAATCATGTTCCAATTCCTCTGCCTGAGAGCCTCCGTTCCATTAACCTACAGGTATAACATAGACCATTCAAGTTGCATATATATTGTGCTAAACCTGATAACCTAATGTCACCACATCCTCCAAAAATAACATAACTATAGACCAGGTATCAAATTCAGGTATCAGTTTAGCAAATTTAGCAAAACACAAGGAGACGCCAGTAGACATGTTATCAAGAGACCGTGGACATGGGTTCAAAGTTCAAATCCCACCATGGCAGCTGTGAAATTTAAATTCAATTAACGGAGATCTAGAGCAGAAAGCTAGTATCAGTAATGGCAACCATGAAACTATCATCAATTGTCATTACAAAAAAAACAATTCATTAATTCCTGTCAGATAAGAAATCTGCCATCTATTCCTGGTCTGACCTACGTGTGGCTCTGGACTCTAACAATATGTTTGACTTTTAACTGTCCTCTAAAATAGCTGATGAAGGTTTTTAGTTCAAGGGTAATTACAGAAGGGCAACAAATACTGGTTTTACCAGTGATGCCCTCATTCCATGAAAGAATAAAGAGAAAAAAGTTATATTGCTCAGTGTGAATCCAGATAGTGGCGCATAAACAGAGAAAGAAAGAGAGAAAATACTGCTCAGTTCAATACTGTTCCGATTTCATCCCTTATTTCAAATCTCAGTGATCAATGATTCTCCCAATGTACCACACCAACAACAGGATGGATGCCTGCCTTACGAGCCCTACAAACTTCCATACTTCTAACTACCTTAAGTAGTTTAGCTGTTGCACATACAAATAAAAATACTATATGTAGCCTCAACAATATTCTCACTCTGTTTATCATATATGATGATAATTCTTACATCTTTTAATCAGACATGTTCCATGCATTGTATAAGAGCATAAGAAATAGGAACAGGACTAGACTATATCCAGCCCAATCAAGCCTGCTTCACCATTCAATATGACTCTGGCTAATATTTGGCCTTACCTCTACTTTCTCACCCACTGCCTGCATCCCTTGATTCTCTTAGAGACTAAAGATCTCTGTCTTAGCCTAATATGTATTCAACAATGAAGCCTTCACAACCTACGAAGCTAGAGAATTCCAAAATTCAGAACATTTTCCTAACTACACCAGTTCTGAGGAAAGGTCACTGGACCTGAAATGTTAACTCTGACTTCTCTTCACAGATGCTATCAGACCTGCTGAACTTTTCCAGCAACATCTGTTTTTGTTGTTGAGTAAAGAAACATTTGTCTCAGTCCTAAATGACTAAACTACAAAAGAGCCTAAGGAGACTTGACAGGATAGATTCGAGAGAATATTTTCCTTTGTTGGAGAGAATCAGGTGATATTTTTAAGACAGACATTAGGTCAATTTTTTTCTCTCAGAAGACTGTTAATCTGTGAAATTCTCTTCCCCAGAAAGAAATGGAGGCTGGATCTTTGAAGCAAAGTTAGATAAGATTTTGTTAAACAATGAGTCATGGGTTCTTGAGGGGGAAACAGAAAAATGGAATTATGACCACAAGCAGATCAACTACAATCTTAACGAATGTCAGAGTAGGATTGAAGGCTGAAAGCCTTCTTAAATTTTATGTTCCCATGATCTGCCTCTTATCCTGAGACTCTGCCCATGAGTTCTGGATTTACCAGTTATGGGAAACAACTTTTCCTATGTTGTATTACCCTATGTTGTAATCTCAAAGCAGATTAGTAACTTTTAAAAAGAAAAGCAAACTCTCAGTTATTAACTGAAAGAATTACTCCATTTGGTTTCATATTTCAAACAAAAAACCTTTTACGGTATAGGAAAGTAAGTACTACTAATTTGATACTATATTTCAAAACATTAATTCTACATGCCCAGAAATCTCAACAGATTAGCCTCCATTCTACTTTTATTTTCACCCAAAGAGTTCGATACTGTATAGAATCTTGAGCATTTATCCACTTTTCCTGAATCTAAACCAATGTGTGCCATAGCTCTCATTTTAATTCTCCTCAATGTTCCTAGTATTCTCCATGATATGAAATTTCTTGGGGTCTTTCCATGATGACCCTTTAATGCTTCTTAAGCACCACAAGATCATGGAGACCTCAGCTAAAGCACAAGATGCTTTCTCTCTCTGCCCATTCCTGAGCTGTCCTAATTCTAAATATAAACTGCCTGTTTCAAACCTGTTACAAAGCTGAGTAATGGTTTCAGTGTGAAAACATACAGATAAATACGAGACGATATGTAATCTCCCAGCTATCTTACCCCATAACAATGTCCCACATTTATAATGTCCCAGATAAAGATTTCATCAATTCCCTTCAATTATCAACCAATTGTTTTTCTGACAATTATATGGATACTTTAAGATGGTTCCTTGTTTACTAATTGGTTTTCAACCTTTCTTTGACCTGGGAAATTACATGAACAATTCGGATGACAAATGAAGACATCTGGCCTCCATCAAGAAATGTAGAAAGGGACCATTTCTAACTTTGGCCTCATTAAATAGACACAAGTCACTCTTTATAAATGGCAATAACTTCAGGTCTGTTTACCACTCCTTCAGGAGTTTCCATTCACCTTACATCCAACACTTCAATCACTTTGGTTTGGGGTGGGGATGAGGGAGATGATCAGAGAGGAATTTTACAAGATTCTTTCCCGAGTTGATCTAAAGTTCTTTTATGCATATCTTGCAAAATTGTGCAGGTAATTGATAATGGTTGTGGGAAGGGACGGTGAGGGCAGGCATGGGCAGTAGGGTGCATGGATAGGCCTCACATTGTGGACTAGTTGAACCATGACAACACAGAATTCACCTCAGGAACTAATTGTCTTCCTCCTGTGCTTTTTCAAAATTTTGCTCATAGGATGAGGGCTTGCTGACTAAGTGAATATTTATTGTACATTCCTAATTGTCCAAGGGGCAGTCAACAATCAACAACATTGCTGTGAATCAGGAGTCACGCGTAGGTCACACCAGGCAAGGATGGCAGATTTCCCTTCCTATAGGACATTAATGAAATTGATGGGTTTATTTAAAATGACAATTGACAATGTTTGGAGCTGAAAGAGCATAGCAGGCCAGGCAGCATCAGAGGAGCAGGAAAGTTGACGTTTCAGATCGGGACCCTTCTTCAGAAATGGGGGAGGGGAGCTGGGAAATAAATAGAGAGAGGAGGGGTGGGGCAGGGGAAGGTAGGTGGGATGGTGATAGGTGAGTGTAGGTAGGCAGTGGTGGGGATTGGTCAGTGAGATGGGAGGAGCGGATAGGTGGGAGAGAAGATGGACAGGTTTCAATAGGTCAAAGAGGCAGAAATGAGAGGGAAGGTTGGTCATGGAACGAGGCCAAGGGTGGGGAAATTTTGAAATTGGTAAAGTCCACATTGAGATCGTTGGGCTGTAGGCTCCCAAGGCGGAATATGAGGTGCTGCTCCTCCAGTTTCTGCGTGGTGTCATTGTGACACTGGAAGAGGCCCAGGACGGACATGTCGCCCAGGGAGTGGGAGGGGGAGTTGAAATGGTTCGCGACTGGAAGGTGTTGTCATTTGTCGCAGACAGAACGCAGGTGCTCTACAAAGCGGTCCCCGGGGACCTGCCCTCTGTTCGCGACAAATGACAACACCTTACAGTCACAAATCATTTCAACTCCCCTCCCACTCCCTGGGCGACATGTCCGTCCTGGGCCTCCTCCAGTGTCACAATGACACCACCCACAAACTGGAGGAGCAGCACCTCATATTCCGCCTTGGGAGCCTACAACCCAATGGTCTCAATGTGGACTTTACCAGTTTCAAAATCTCCACACCCCCGGCCTCATCCCATGACCAAGCCACCCTCTCATCCCCGCCTCCTTGACCTGACACAACCTGTCCATCTTCTCTCCCACCTATCTGCTCCTCCCACCTCACTGACCAATCCCCACCACTGCCTACCTACACTCACCTATCACCATCACACCTACCCTCCCAAGCTCCACCTCTCCTCTGTCAATTTATTTCTCAGCTCCCCTCTCCCTTCCCTCATTTCTGAAGAAGGATCCTGACCCAAAACATCAACTTTCCTGCTCGTCTGATGCTGCCTGGCCTGCTATGCTCCTCCAACTCCACACTGTGTTATCTCTGACTCCAGCATCGGCAGTTCTTACTATCTCTGAATCGACAATGTTTGGCCAGATTTTTATTGAATTCAAATTTCAACCATCTGCAATGAGAACACTTGACTGGGATTCTGGTTTACATGTCCAGTGACACTTCCAATAAGGCACTGCCTCCCAATATGTTTGGTTCCATGTTAAGGCAGGGAATTCAAGAAAGGTAGCCCTAAACGCAGCTGCCAATTGCAGTGAAAAGAGATTGGGGAGTCAGGGGGCATTCCAACAGGTGATCAGAGTTAGAGGAATAGGGAATATGGCTGGGGACAGAGGTTAAAATTATAGCAATTACCAACATGTTGATTTAGAGCAGGGCATGACACAAAAGGTCAACATATAGCTAAATCATAAGATTTTGAAAGGGCCTGATAGTGTAGAAATGGAAAGATTGTTTCCACTGGTCGGGCACTCTAAAACACAGGAAAAACGACCTCGGATAACAGCACCATAATTTAGGACTGAGAGAAGGAGAAATTATTTCACTCAAAGGATTGTGAAATTTCTACACAAGAGGGCTCTGGAATCTCCAACTTTGAATAAATTTAAAGCTGGCAGAGTCAAGCTTTTGGTCTCTTGGGTGATCAAGGGATATTGGGAGTGAAATAACTCCACAGTGGCTGGTATCCTGTCAGCAAGTCAGCATTTATTTACACAAGCATAGTACTTGACATTGATCCAGCTCCCTCAGAATCAGCTCTCAGTGTGAACAGAACCTCTGACACTCCTGTTTATATTTGTCAGCCAGGGCTCTTTGATCAGACCAGATTAACAAGCCCAATCAGGGAACTCATGATCTATGCGGTCACCTGGCTCACCTCATTACAATCACTACAGGGAGCAGGTGGATAGTGAAATTGAAGTCCAAGATCAGCCATGATCATGTTGAATGCAGGGCAGGCTTGGTGGCCCAAATGGCCTTCTCCTGTTCCTATTTCTTGCGTTCGTGTTCTTATCTTATTACCTTCGGGGATGGAGACTCATTTACCTTACAGACTTCAAGATACGGACATTACCTGGTCTTCTAAGCTCTGTTTCTTGTATTTCTGCTTTTTTAAAATTCTGTTTTTGTATCTAAAATGGCTGTTTTGGTTTGGTATCTAAGATGGTTTGTTCTGTTACTTTTGGGTTTTTTATGCCTAAGATGTCATCAGAGAATTGCAACTTTGTACATTTTTCACCGTACTCCTGTATCTTTGTACCTGAGTATATGTGACAATAAAACCTTATTCTGATAAACTAATGTGCCATTTTTTCTAATCTTTTCAGAACAACAATGTTCAGCAGATTAACGATGACACTTTCTGCAACTCAAAGGACATACACTATGTTCGCAAGGCCCTGGAGCTCATTCGACTGGATGGAAATCCCATTAATCTTAGCAAAACACCTGGTGCCTACATCTGTCTCCCACATGTGCCCTATGGCAATTATTAAAGATCTCTATTTCTATTTCCAGTTCACACAAAAGAAATCACAGCAGGCCAAAGCCTTTTACTATTGTGCTTAGGATTTTCAACAGCAAATACTTCCTTTTCAAGAAATCTGTTTAAGTGCCACATCCATGGTATTTCTCATGCTCTAATGAATGATTGAATCAGTTCTGTAAAGGAAGAACATATTCAAAATAACTATTTGAAATGCTAGGCAATAAAGCAAGAGAAAGTAAAAGTTGTAAATGTTTAATAAGGAAAACTACTTTGAAATCCAATCTGTATTGACTCTGCCAAACAAAATAAATATGATCTGGCTTAAAAACACTTTGATATTCATTAAGCAATGTATGTGCTCCATCAGTACATTGTCAACTTATTTCATGTTATAAGCCTGATGCTATAAAAAGAAAAAATTATTTTGCCTTTCCATTTCTTTGAAGCATTTTACATTATTGTTAGATTATAATGAACCCCGTCTGCATTGTAAACATTATTCCTAATTGTACTTGCAGCATGAATAAATGTCTTATTAATGTTATTTTTAAAGCCTCTTAATATGAAAAATATTGAATCTTGTTATATCTACAGGAAAAACTACAAAACTTAGTTGTAACTAGATAATGGTAACTTGGTAATCATCAGGATAAACTTTTTGGTGTTGATTAAGGTGGGACAAGCAAGCTGAAGCAACAGTAAAACTTATTTGCGGTAACTGTTTCTTTGATTTGCATTTTTAAAACCAACCACTGATGTGGAATCTAGCTTATGATGTTGAGTTCATTCATTTATTTATGTAAATTAAAATTTAAAACGTTTTGTTTAACCATTAGGTCTCATTTAACTGCTTTCTTGATCTCTGGAATAGACTGTAACTTGAGTTTAAGCAGCAAAAATGCAATGGGCAATTAGTATTTGAGGCAGGTGGGTGCATGGGTACATATTCTGGTTTTATTTTTCAAGTGCCTAAATGTACCTGCTTCATGGTATAAATGGCAGATAATGAAGGACTGGCATTGTGAGTCCCCACTCATAATTCTCTATCCCCACCTACTCCTGCATGCTGTTCATGGCTGGTTGGACAGAGTTCCTCTCCCTTTTAGATCCCCAGGGAATTTCTGTCGTTGGGTCAGACAAAGAATATTCCTGTTTCAGACTGATTTATAGCCATTCTGGTGCTCACACCCAGGATTTACAGTAAGAATGTGCTGAAAGAACTTTTCTTTCTTATTTCACAAATGAAAAGAGAAGACATTTCTGGCATTTATACAGCTAGTCAAGAATTTCAAAATATACCAAAATATTTTGCATAAAATAATTGAATTTTAAGTGCCATTGTCATTGAGATAGATTGGCCATGATCTAATGGAATGGCAGAACTGGGATGAGAGAATGAATGTCCTCCTCCTCTTCCTATGTATGACGTGGAAGTGCCGGTGTTAGACTGGGGTGAACAAGGACAAAAATCACACAACACCAGGTTATAGTCCAAAAAGTTTATTTGAAGGCACAAGCTTTGGGAGTCTTGCTCCTTCTTTGGGTGTCAGTGAGTGAGGCGGCATCAGACACAGAATTTATAAGCAAAAGATCAAAGATCAGAGAACTGTGTGAATGTCCTGAAAAAAATCTAAGATGGCTGTTAAATCTTTAATCAATTAGAAAAGATTAATATGCAAATCCCAGAATTTCTTTCAAATCACTGCCCCGAGATAAGTAAAGGTTTTATCAGTATACCAGAGGTGACATCTCAGGTGAGATAATGCCCTTTAGGTGTAAGGCCTTGTTTAGAATCTGGCTGTGTATTAATTTGGAGTCAGACTGGCTTTATTTTGAAAGTAGGAATTTATGAAATGGCACATTGACTGTCTACAAATTGTGTGCTTTTTGAACAAAATAGAATATATCTGCAATTACAAATCTCCAAATGCAAATTTACTATGTGTGTGTGGGGGTGAGAGAGAGGGAGAATGTGTTTTTGTGTGTTTGTGTGTGTGTGTGTGCGCGCACACGTGCGTATGAGAGAGTATGTGTGTGCATGAGTGTGTGTGTTTGTGTGCATGTGTGTGTCTGTGCACATATGAGGGAGAGAGAGAGTGTGTGTTTGTGTGTGTGGGGGAGAGAGAGGGAGAATGTATGCGCGTGTGTGTGTGTACATACGTGTGAGAGAGAGAGACTGTGTGTGTGTGCAAGTGTGAGAGAGTGCTTGAGTTCGTGTGTGCATTAGTGTGAGTGAGTGTGTGTGTGTGAGAGAGAGTGTGTGTACGAGAGAGGGTCTGTGTGAGTGTGTGAGTATGTGTGAGTGAGTGTGTTTGTGTGAGATAGAGAGTGTGTGTATGTGTGAGTGTGTGTGAATGTGAGTATGAGAGTGTATACTATGGTGGGTCATCTGTAGTGCAACATGAACCAAAGATACAGATTGAGGCCATCCTCATGGTTATCGAACTTGGCTATCAGCCTCTGCTCGGTGACTCTGCATTGTTGTGTATCCTGGAGTCCGCTTTGGAGGACGTTTACCTGAAGATCTGAGGTTGAATGTCCTTGGCTGCTGACGTGTTCCCCCACTGGTAGGGGGCATCCCTGTCTGGCGATTGTTGCGCAGTCTCTATTCATCCGTTATCATAGGGTCTGCATGGTTTACCAATATACTATGCCTCGGGGCATCCTTGCCTGCAGCGCATGAGATAGACAACATTGGCTGAGTCACGAGTAGCTGCTGTGCACGTGGTGAGTGGTGCTCCCATGTGTGATGGTAGTCTCCATGTCAATGATCTGACATGCCTTCCTATGTAGACAACATTGATTTGCAAGTAATGCAGTAGCCATTTCCTGCACAGCAATGCCTCACAGACAGCAAATGGGTGAATAGCTAGCTGTGTTGTTGGTCATCACCTTGGTTTAAATGCCCTACTCAAAAGACAGAATTGCCTAGAATGCAACACTTTCATTGCACTGGAGTATCAGTGTTGGTCATGTGTTCAAGGTGTAAAATGATCTGAAATCGTAACTTTGTTGGTTTTTGCACTCGCATGTTACAAGCTGTGCCCGATAGGAGTCCAGATTAGAAACAGGGTTACAAAATAATGGTGGAATCTGATAGGGGTCTAAGCAATATGGGCGATGGCAAGATTTGTGGCAGAATTGGATGAGAAGTCCCATGAGGACCATCTCAGCATTGGGAGCATCTTGTTGCATCCTTTAAGCTTTTGCTGAATGGTGAGGTGAGTTTCTCTCTAGGCAGCCGTGAGTTGAAATTAAGAAGGATTAAAGCTTGTACAATGCCTTACTAATGTTAAAAATTCTCTTATTAATATTCAGTTTTCTACCCCACCAAATGTATCAAACTAGCTAGATATTGAGAATTTGACATGGATGAGAGAATACATACCTTGTCAGCTTGTCACTGCCTGTGATCAACCTCCATGCTTCTCAGCATCAAGCAACATCTTAAGACACATCCTTGGATACTAGCCACATATACTCCACTCATCCAGGGACATGGGCATCCGATACGTTGCCAAACTCTCATCACCGTTATAATACCTCTTCAATCCATTTGCAGGCCACTTATGCAGCACATATTGGTATTGCAGGGAGCACTAGCAACTTGCATTGAGAGGGTGCAGCTAGGAAACTTTGCATGGAGGGGCAGGCACCCAGCTCACAGATTAGACTAGGCTGCATCTCAGGGCTGTTTGCTTGTCTCTCTTAGCACTCACTCACTTAGCACCAGCATACATGCTCACAGCATCCAATGCTTTGCCTTGCCTTGCCTTACCATGCCATGCTATGCATATTGGCACTGCAGCCAGAACTAAAGGCTATCAGTACTACCGTATTAACAAGGTCTTTAGCACAGACGCACAGCCAGGCTACTGCCATGCACGTAATTAGGAATCTGTCCAGGACGATGACTGCTGTATGAAACACTTGAGATGTCAATCTAAGATGTACAGCATGTGCCAGCTGCCTGAGCAGCAACACACTGCACATTCATTCAACCAAATAACCATGTCGTATTGGCCTAGTTCTCAGTCCAATATAGGGGGCTCATTGTCTGTCAGCAAGTCCTAGTGCTATCAGACATGGGTATAGTCTGTACTCAGTTTAAGCGTCTAGCGATAATAGTCGATAGCTTGGACTGCTCAGTCAGGTGATATAACTGTCTACAGTCCAGAGAGTGAACAATGGTCAGTCCAACAGGGCAAGCACCAGTAGTCAGGGGAGTCAAGGCTTGAGTATTAGGAAAGCAGACACATTTTCAAAGGTGGGGCTACCTGCTAAGGCAATCATGTTGATCTCCCTTTTACAGAGGCTTTAAGTGTTGGCTGAAAGGCACAATACAGCTAATGAAGAGATAACAGCAGAAAGGGCAACAATATTGCAGCCAGACCTTGAGAATATCCAGGTTTGAGCTGACAGGTGGCAAGTAACATACACACCACACAAGGGTGAGGTAATGGCCATTTTCAACAATACAGAATCTAACCATCCAAGCCTGACATTTTATGACATGACTCAAGCCAGGGCACCATACTCTTACCAGACTGTACGGGTGTTCTATCATTACAGACGTACTCAGATAGTGACTTAACCTGAGGGCCACCATGCCTTAGGCAAGGATAGAGGTTGAGAAAGAGAGTCCTTCATGGCAACCTCAGCCAGTGTGGGAATTGAACTCACACTGCTTTGCAAACTAACTGTCCAGCCAAATGAGCTAAACCGACCCCCAATGATATTACTACCACTGAATCTCTCATTATCAACAGACTGGAAGTTACCATGGACTAGAAACTGGGCAGGACTAGCCAAATAAATAAATTGGCTGCAAGAGAAGGTCAGAGGCTAGGAATGCTGCAGCAAATAACTCACCTCCAGCTCTGAAGAAAGGTCACTGGACCCAAAACACTAACCCTGTTTTCTTTCCACAGGTGCTGCCAGATGTACTGAGTTTCTCTAGCAATTTCTGTTTTTGCAATTCACCTCCTGTCTCATCAAGTTTATCCACTATCTACAATGCACAAGTCAGGAGTGTGATGGAATGCTCCCCAATTACCTGAA